GCTTTCAACATCGCGTAAAAGACGTTTATTGCGACGCACTGCAAAGATAAAGGGCGGCAGTTGTCGCAATTGGTTGGGTCAACCTTCTTGTATAGCAGGCACACTTTCGAAGCGCACCATGAAGATGGGAGTTCCTTGCTGTACCACGCTCCGTTGCATGTGTCTAACAGCCAATCCAATTGCCCAGGCTCGTCGGAGAGCTCCACAGGAGGGATATTCAAGAATAGTTAAAAAGATAGTACGGTGACGATTGTTCGTGCTTGTTTGACTACGCTTGCCTATGCTTGAACTATTTTTCTCTTGCTTCCAAAATCCGCCTGTAGGAGGACATGCCCGACCTAAGCATAGGGGGGCTGCATCGACCCCCAATCGCCTCTTGATCGCCGAGCGATGCGGGCCCGATGCCCCCCCCGCCGCCCAAGAGCCCCCTGTCGTTGCCCCTCACCGTTGTTCCACACCAGTCGCCGCGAGGGGAACAGGGGTCCCGAGGGAAGCGAGCCCTGCAGAGTGCCGCCGCTCGCGCGAGCTCCCGGGGCCCTCCACGGGCCCCGGGGGTTGTCAGAAAGCGGCTCGGGATGAGGAGCTGATCCCCGGGGTCCGGGACCCGTTTCCCTGAGGACCCGCTTCCTTCATGCCGAAGTGGGCCTCTGCGCCCGTGTTCGCACCCCTGGACCATCCGAGACCGGTCCAGCTCGCCTTGATCAGTGGACACTGGAATTTTCCAGTCGCGACCGACGAGAACGGCCGCTACCGATCTTGCTTCAACTTCCGGTGTCGGTCGCGACCGATTTACTTCAAAATCGGTCGCGACCGATTCTGGGATCGGGCAAGATCGGTCGCGACCGATTTGGAGTGCCGATCGGTCGCTGCCGATCGCGACCGAGAAAAATCGGTATCCAATGAAAAGGCGGAGCAAGCCGCAGCAGGATGGGATCCAGGGCTCCAGTCCTGATTCTTCGCGGTGTTGCCATTCTTCGCAACGTCGGAGCACAGGGTCCGTCGTCTGCCGTTCGTCGTCCATCGTCCAGGAGTCAACCACGAGCGCCTTCTCGGATGATTCAGTGATGCGGGAGCCTCTCGGCAGGGTACTTTGGCCATCCTGGGGCAATTCTGCAGGTCCTTGGGGTCCTCTTGGAGCCCTCCTGAGGCTTTCTTGGGGCCTTCGGCCATCTTGGGGGGCATCGGTCATCCGTTGTCTGTCGTTCGCCGTCGCCGCCGTCGTTCCTCGTATGTTGTCTGTGTCGGCGTCGTCGTCGTCGTCGTTCACCGCCGTCGCCCATCGTCTGTCGTATGTCGTCGCCGTCCTCCGCCGTCGTGGCCGGCAGCGGCGTCGTCCGCCGTCGTCGCTGCTGTCGTCTTGCGCCCTGCGCCCTTCCCCACACCTCAGCAGGGCAGGGACGGAGCTTCGCTGGGTGTTGCGGACTAGCGAGGGCGGCAGCGACACCCGCCGGGACCGCGATCGGACGAAACTTGACGACCTGCAGCAACCGGCGTCGGACACCGACGATCGCGAGGGGGCGGACAAGAAGGCGCAGATTGTTCGATGTTGTGTGCGCGATCTGCGCGCGCAAGCCGCTGAAAATGGCATGTCTTTCCTCAGCGAGGCAGCGGACAAAGTGCAGGAGGAGGTCCGCCGCCTGGAGGCCCAGAAGAGGCAGACCTTCCCGAGATGCTTCACGCAGGCACAGTTGGAGAGGTATCGCCACAAGGTGGAGCAGGCGAGTGACTGCATCAAAAAGAAGATCGAGTCCTTCAACGAGCAGGCCGCCGACATCGAGAATGAGCCGGCAGAAGATCAGAAAAAGTTGGAGGGCAAGGAAAAGCATGTCCAGGAATTGGAGGCGAAGAAGACACAGCTGGAGCAGGCCGCACCGCCTGACGCGGAAGGGCAGTGGACTAAGGCAGCCCGCCACCCGGAGCAGTCGGAGTCGATGCTGTACCGTGGATTTCTCGGACCGGGAGATCAGGGCAAAACAGGCGGTCACGGACGCCCTCGCACGATTGGTGCTAAAGACGACCATAGCAAGAAGGCTGCGGACAGAGATGCAAGATTAGGAGCAGGCTTGTTAGCAGACCCGGAATGGCACCCAGAGAACGCAAGCCCAGAGCATTTTGCAAGTCAGCGCGAAAGTCCGAGCCCCGGCATCAGAGGTAGTTGACAGGGCTAAGGACAGGCCGCTGCAGGCCCCGAGCTGTCGTGGCACGGATACTGGGGGCGTGGAGCGTCGTGAGGGAGTCGGGGAAGCGGCAGGGGCTTTTGAGGAGGTTGGACGCCCTTCGGCCAGGGCGGAAGGGCTACTTGAGGGCACAGACGCGGCTGCCAGGGCAGAATTGGCACACATAAATCGGCACCAGCTCGTGATCCTACCAGGCTATGCGTTGTATAGAGCGCGTGCGCCTACTACGTCAGCAGCGTTGGCAGGGTCTCTGCAGGAGCGGGTGCAAGGGCAGCCGAGTCACTGCAAAGGGAAGATTTAATCGTCTTTGGAAGGGCCAGCACCCGACCACGGGAAGGCCTTTGGGGAGAGGGCCCCCTGAGACACGGCAGGTCCCTTCTACACGGTAGAGGTAGGACCGGTAAATATTGTTTATTTTGCACATGTTCTTCGTCCTCTTGCTCGTCAGTTCTCCTACTCTTTCCTCCTAGTCCTCCTCCCTTCCTCCTCCTCCTCCTCCTCATCCTCCTCTTCCTCCTCCTTATGTTTTTCCTCCTCCTCCTCCTTCTCCTCCTCCCCCTTCCTGCTCCCCCCTGAAACACCTCCCTCCCCGGAAGATTCTAACGTAATCCCCCATTGCGTTTTTGTTGGACCCCCCTTGGTGCATTGCATGTCTCCGCTCCGCCTGTGGTCCCATCGTCGATGATGTTCGTTCGGTGCTGCACCGTTGGCAACTTCGCCCGAGGAGCCCACAGGGGGCGACACGCCCAGCCTCTTGTTCCTTCCGGATGCGGCTCAATCTCTCGCAGGGGAGGCAAAAAAGGGAAGCCCAGAGCCTTCGCCTCCGAACGCACAGGGAAGCCCAGGGCCTTCGCCTCTGGATGCCCGTGTCCCGTAGGCCACCAGCTCGGGCGCGGAGATGAGCCGCCCGTCGATCGTCGCAGCAACGGCTGTCCGTGCTGGCCGGCTCCCCGGAGGCGGCTCGAGGGCGCGAAGAGGTCACGGCGCGTCGCTCGGGGCGCGAGGGCATGAAATCGGGCGGCCTGGGCGTCGCTTCCCGGGGCCATCAAGCACGACCCGCGACGAGGAGCTGGCCCGACAGACAGGGTTGAGAGTTTCCGGCCCCTGGTCATGAAGGAATGGCAACGAATGGCGACGCTGGAGGTATGAGAGAGGGAGGAGATAGGTTTCCGGGAAGGTTGGGAGAAGGAGCATGAGGTGGAGGACCAGTGCAAGCCCAAAACGCATGAACGATGTTGCAATAAATTTTTCCTCCAAGCTCCCGCCGCACAGGTCCTCAACCTGCCGCACACTTTTGAGACGAATGTGCGCGACGCTCTGGCGAGAGCCACATTATTTTGAAGATGGCCCGCCCTCTCAGAAACAGTAGCAAAATTCAAGTTTCGGAATCATATCTGGTGGGGAAAGCTCAGGCGAAACGCCCAGCACGCCTTGCAAACAAGTCTCGGGGTGCGGTGTGGAGGAGGAGGAGGAGGAGGAGGAGGAGGAGGAGGAGGAGGAGGAGGAGGAGCGAGGAGCGAGGTTCGGGGAGCGAGGATCAGGAGAAGGAGAAGGAGGAGGAGGAGCGAGGAGGAGCGAGGAGGAGGAGCGAGGAGCGAGGTTCGGGGAGCGAGGAGGAGGAGGAGGAGGAGCGAGGAGGAGGAGGAGGAGGAGGAGGCGGAGGAGGAGGAGGACGAGCGAGGAGCGAGGGGGAGCGAGGAGCGAGAAGGAGGAGGAGAAGGAGGGGAAGGAGGAGGAGCGAGGAGGAGGAGGAGGAGGAGGAGGAGCGAAGAGGGCAACGAGGAGAGACGAGGAGCGGCGAGAAGGAGGAGGATGAGGAGGAGGACCTTCCCAGCCCGCTTCCCCTCCCCACCACCCACTCCACCGCTGGAGTCAAGCTCCGTGGCACGGATAGCCTGGATCACATCAGGCGCACGAGCACCTTCTACCATACGGTGGGGGCAATGGATAATAAGGAACCCTTAGATAAGGAATCCAGGGTCGGGAGGCGGGTGGGGCTCCAATCGTGGACTGGCCATGGATATCACCGCCGCCCTCATTGGATAAGGAATCCTCCAGGGTTTGGCGCCTCCTGGGACTATCCCTTAACAAACGCCTCCACTCAATGTTGGTTGCGCGGTGTCAGAAGAGAGAGCGTGCCGGTGTCGGGCGGGGCCGGGCGAGGCTCGGGGCCGGGGCAGTTCTTGCCGCTTGGGCGGCGGCTCTGGCGAGGCGGGGTCGTCCTTCCACTCTCGCCTCGGTGGGGGGCGCGAAGCGGAATGCACGGTGCACCTCACCGCCAGGGGGGAAGCGGGTCCTGAGGGAAACAGATCCCGAGGTTTGTCGCCGTTGTCGGGCCTTCGGGGCCCTCCACGGGCCCGGGGACTGTCAGAAAACGATTCGGGATGAAAAGCTCGCCCTGGGGGCTCCAGGGTCCAGGACCCGTTTCCCCCATGCTAACCCTCGGTTCGGCAGGTCCGTGCCGCAGCGGCGGCGCTGTCGAGCGCCAGATGGGGTCCGAGCATGTGGAGTCGGAGGGTCGCGCCGCATCGCCGATGCATCTGCGATGCGGCTCGATGTTGAGCGCGATGTTTTCCACGCCGACGGCGCCGATGCAGCGCCGAAGTCGCCCATGCATCGCCGATACGACGCGCTCCTCCTACCCCATCTGCTCGGACTCCATCTCTGAGGCTCCATATCGCCCTCCTCCATCCCTCATCCCATCCCTGCTGCCTCGCTCCTCCGACCCACGCCGCCACGCTGCTGGCGACCGTTCCCCCCTTGCGCCTGCCAGAGTACGCCTCAAGCGGGCCGCCGCCGCGTGGCGCGCCCGGCCTGCCGCAGGCGCGCCTCCCCGAGCCGCCTCCGGAAGGCACGCCGGTAGAGGATCGGCGGAGCGTTTGGAGGGGGAGGGAGGGAGGGAGGGAGGGAGGGAGGGAGGGAGGGAGGTGGGGAGGGAGGGAGGTGGGGAGGGAGAGAGGGAGGGATGAAGGGAGGGAAGGAGGGAGGGAAGGAGGGAGAGAAGGAGGGAGGAAGGAAGGGAGGGAGGGAGGGAGGAGAGGGGGGAGGGCCAAGCTCGGCGCGCAGGTGTCGCATCTGACGTCCTACTCCCTCCCATCCCTTACCATTGCGTGGATCTCTTCTGTGTTCGCACAGTCGGATGTCGAACGGGGCAACGTTCCCGAGAGAGTACGCGATGCGTGGTATAGCACGGCATAGATGTTCGCATCGAAGAGCACGGCCACAGCCGACGACGTCGCGTCGAGAACGCAACTCATGTCGGCGACAAAGTCAGAGGACAAACATTGCGTCGCCGTCGCCCTCGCTAGAGCCTGGCCGGCGCCCTTGCGCTAGCAAGGAGTGTGTAATGAGCGTTGCCTGGCTGGAGTCTTCTGGATACACATCCGAGACCCCCAGCCAGGACAAGGCGCCGGCGAGAGCCCCACAGGGCGGCGAGGGTGGGGAAAACGATGACACGCAGCTGTCACGCTTCGCTTTTCTCAGGGAAACATGGGAAGCGCGTGCGCCAGAGGCTCTTTCCAGACGCAGTGCCGGCCACGAACTTGAGTGCGACAGGCCGGGTCCCCCTCAGGGACCTTGGCCGCGGCGGCTCCGCGGCGACGAGAAGGGCGCTGGCACAGCGGGGACGAGGAACGCGGGCAACCACAGCGCGGCGACGAGGAGCACTGGCGAACCACGCGTGGCGACGAGAACCACGAGCAACGAACGCGAGCGGCCACCCAGCGGAACCCAAGGCGAAGTGCTGACCCCGCCCCTTATCCCCCTGCGGCCTGGATGCACCACCATCCAGGCCAGCAGAGGGCGCCGGGGTCCAAACAGCGGGATCACGCCAGAGAGGAATGCCGCCTTACTTCCACCGCTTCGCAGAAGCACGCCGGCTCGCCAGGCGTCGCGAGCCCACGAGGCAGGTCATGAGGCGCGGAGGCGATGAGGAGACGCGGAAGCATTGCGAGGGCAAGTTCCTGATGATTGTCTTGTCGCATGAACAAGTTTATGATTCATGGAAACGGGTATTCCGCACTGTTCGGTTGCAGGGATAGCGGGGGGGTCATTATTCCTGGTTGGCCGCGTGTCGCCTGGAGAGGTAAGTACTAACAGGGAGCAGCGGCAAACCCCGCCCCGAAGGGGAAGAAGGAAGGAAGATGGAAACGGAAACTCGCTAAACCATACGCCCTAAAGTGAACCACTTACGCCCTCAAGGGTTGGTGTGATTTCTACCTGCTGCTGACATGGCTGCAGGTGCAAATCAAAAGAGTGGCGAAATCAGCACAGCGCGCAAGTTCCGTTGATGCAGTTGTTTCCGCCACCTCAGAAAAAGTCAGCTCGACGGGCTCGAAGAGGGAAGGTGTATCAGCAGAGAAGAAGCCCAGTACGATAGAGGGAAGGCGGAAAGGAATCATCCAGAAGCTACCGCTCACGCAGTGGAACTCCAGGCTGAGCACAGTTCAGCGAAATCAGTAGGCAATGCTGCAAGCCCGATGCTCAGGTGTGTCTGCTAATTCCTGTAACGTGCGATACGGCCGGAGCTCACCGCGCACGGAAGCGATATTTTGTTCTGCGCACAGAGCCGTCCAGCCGCACCGCCAGCTCGTTTTTACACAGTTGTCGAAAGGCGACAGGTTACCAAAAGTCCAAAGACTTCACATGGTAAAGCTGGCCAGATTGGGAGTCCTGCGCGGTGGCATCATATGGATTCTCTTGCTCGAACGCCATGGTCAACATAAGGTCCAAGCAGCGCCAGCAAAGCCATCTGCTCAAGAATATGCAACGGTCCGCAGAACGGCCTCTGTCTATGAGACGGCAGCGCGGCCCAATCAGACACAGCGAGTCGCCGTCCGCGCCCAAATCTCATGGTCAAATCGTGCAGCAGACGTCTAGAACCTAGCCCGAGATTGGGAGCTCGATAGACACGCCATCATTGTGCCGGAGAGAATTCGCGGTATTATGTTCATGCCATGCGATTTTATGTTCATGATATTGTGTTCATGCTATGGCAGAGTTTCGACAAGCAGAACACGATCGGGTCTTCGATCCAGTCGCACGCGCGACCCCCCAAAGAGGCAGAGCAACCAGATGTTTGGAACACCGTCGCCGTCGAATTTGTTTGGCCAGCGCCCACTGCAATTGCGAACAGGGACCTCAAAGGCGACTTCACGAATCCAGCGCCGAGAAATTCATAAGTTTGCCCCCACGTCCGCACTAGCAGCTTCTGGGCACGACATGTGCTTCCCACAGCGAGTAGCAGTGCTGGCCGCCACTGTGCGGAGGATGAGTATGACGAGTATGAGGCTGAGTTTGGTGAGGTTTAGGGAGAAGATGGGGGCTGCTGATGATGACGACAGTAATGGTAATGAGTATAGTACAATGACGATGATGATGTTGATAGTGATGATGGTGATGATGATGATGATGATGACGTTGATAGTGGTGGTGATGGTGATGATGACGATACTGATGCTGATGACGATGACGGTGGTGTCGGTGATGGCGACGACGACGACGATGGTGATGGCGATGGCGATGCATGATGACGTTGTTGTTGCCGGTGGTGATGGCGATGATGATGATGATGATGATGATGGTGATGATGGTGGTGACAACGATGATGTTGATGATGGCGATGGTAATGATGGCGATGATGTTGTTGTTTATGATGATGGTATTGGCGATGTTGTTGCTGATGATGGTAGTGAGTGTTGTGGTGGTGATGATATGGATGGCGATGGTGATGATGATGATGGTGGTGATGATGATGATGTGCATGATAGTTGAGATGGTAATGGTGAGTTCACTGGTAATGATGATGGTGATGGTGATCGTGATGATGACGATGATGTTGATGTTGATGATGGTGGTGATGATTATGTTGTTTATGATGATGGTATTGGCGATGTTGTTGCTGGTGATGGTAGTGAGTGTTGTGGTGATGATGATATGGATGGCGATGATGATGATGATGATGATGATGGCGGTGGTGATGATGATGTGCATGATAGTTGAGATGATGATGGTGAGTTCACTGGTAATGATGGTGGTGATGGTGATGGTGATGAGTGTGATGGCGATAATGATGGCGGTGATGTTGGTAATGGCGATGGTGATGATGATGACGGTGTTGGTCATGATTATGTGGGTGCTGACGACGACGATGACGATGACCGTGGCGATAATGGATGATGTGGTTGTTGATGATGATGACGGCGACGAAGATGGCGATGATGATGATGACGACGAAGATGATGGTGGAAAGTGTGATGGTGATGGTGATGTTGATTATGAGTATGATGGTGACGAGGAGGAGGAGGGGGGGGAAGAGGAGGAGGAGGATGAGGATGATGATGAGAGTGAGGATGATGATGATGATGATCGGTTTGGGTTTCCTTGGAGCTGTCTGGGCCCTCTGTGAGGCAGTCATGGGGGTCCCTTGGGCCTTCTTGGGCCGCTCTTGAGCACCTTGCGCCAGCTTGGGGCTTTCTTGGGCCGTCTTGGAGCTTTCTTGGCCGCATGGTGGGTGCCTGGTGGCCGCCGTGGGGCGTCTTGGCACCGTCTTGGTTCGTCGACTGGCACTCTAAGGCCGTCTTGAGTCCCACGGGAGAGCGTCTTGGGTCACGTTGGGGCCGTCTTGAGTGTTTCTTGGGCCATCGTGGAGTTCTGTTGGGCCGTCTTGAGCTGACGGCAGCCCGAAACGACGAGAATGCGATAGTCATTCAAAAATCAAGGGCATCAACGATGTTGGTTTCCTCTGACCCTGTTGGAGGCCCTCGTGTCGCCATTAGGCCCTCGTGGAGATATTCGGCCGCCTTCGGGTCATCTTGGGCCGTAGTCGAGGCATCTTAAGCCTTGGGCCATTTGGGTGTCCTTGGTTGCCTGCAGGAGCCGTCTTGTAAGCTCGGAGCGCATATCCATCGTTGTGACTTGGGGGTCGTGGCTTCGGAGGCTCTGGAGCGCTTGGGAGCAGCGCCTGGGAACGCGGGAGGTGCACAATCCTAGAGCGGATGCGCGTGGGATTAGGCGTCTGGGAGTTAGCAGCCATGCGGGAAGTGCACAATCCTCGAGCGGGCGCGCATGGAATGAGGGTTCAGGCATTAGCTGCCACGCGGGGAGTGCATTATCCTCGAGCGGGCGCGCATGTAATCACGGCTCAGGCATTAGCTGCCATGCGGGAAGTGCACCATCTTCGAGCGGGCACGCGTGGAAGGGGGCTTCAGGCATTAAAGTCGAACCCCGAGGCAAGTGTTTAGAGCGGGTCTGGCGTTTCGCCTGAGACTTCTCACAATGTATGACCCTGCCGCGCCGCGCACATTCGTTTTGAATAGTTGCAAGATTTTCACGGATTGAGGGCGGTTCCTTTTCAAAAATTGGTTATCGCGTTAGCGACGCGCACAATCGTTTTTTGAACAACAAATACAAGAGCTTCACGGATTGAGGGCGGCCCTTTTTTAATGTGGCTCTCGCTTTAGCGACGCACACTTTCTTTGAAAACATTGAACGGTTTTCACGGATTCCTTAGATCAGCGTACCAGAAATAAGGTATTGGAAGGATTCAGGACGTTTGTTCGCGGTGTTGAAGGCCCCCCAGAATGGCTTTCTGGCAAGACTCAGGATCGTCAAGACGCAACAGTCAGGTTGATCCGTGGCGTTGGAATTTCGAGAACAATGTTTTGCCATCTTTCAGGGTCTTCAAACGGTTGCCTTCCAACGAGACAGTTCCCTCAGTGGAGATGAACCGTTGTATGGGGCATATGCAGAGGAAGCTTGGATGGAGGTTGTATGCCAACATCGTTGATGGCTCTTGGGTTTACACTGCTCCTCCTCCTCCGCCTCCTCCTCCACCTCCTCCTCCTGCCTCCGAGCGCCTCTGGAGCTCTCGGACCTCCGGGTAGCTCCAGGAAGCTCTGGAGGGGGCCTCGGGGGGCTTCGTGGACTCTCAAGACCGAGCAGCGGGGCGTGCGAAATCTCACCCAGAAACCAAACATTTATGTGGACGATGGTGGCCTCCTGGCCCCGAGGGACCCAAAGACGGCACAGAAGGCGCCCAAGAGGCGCCCAAGGACGGGCTTCAGGGGCCATGCTATGCCATGGCGGAAGTGCGGACTCCCACCCACGCCCCCGAGGCTTCTGGGAGTGTCCCGCCGCAGGTCCCACGCGCGGCCGCGCCGAAGCATTCCGAGCAGGGGCCCCTGGGCCCCTCCAAGAGCACTTCCCAGTGCCTCGCGGCACGGTCACGGATTCCAGTACTCTTGCCATTGCCCAGTCAGAGACACCCACACACCACACAACCACACATACGCGCGCGCACGCACACACACACACACACACACACACACACACACACACACACACACACACACACACGCACACACACACACACACAAATATATATATATATATATATATATATATATATATATACACATCGCCCCCGAGGACGAGCTGGCGAGCATCCGCAGCCGCCTCGAAGAGGTCCGCCGGATGCTAGCGAGAGAGGGGGCCTCGGCGGCCGGAGAAGAAAAGGGACTGCGGCGCCGACTCGGAACCGCGGGGGGGGAGAAGGGAAGTGAAGATGGAAGTGGAGGTGGAGGAGGAAGGTGAAGATGGAATTGAAGGTGAAGATAGAAGTGGGGTTGGAGGTGGAGGAGGTGGACGGAACCCGAGCAGAAGAGGGAGGTGAAGATGAAGGTGGAAGTGGAGGAGGGAGGATGGAGGAGGTGGCCGAGGAGGAGGAAGATGGACGGAGGGAGAAGTGGACGAGGAGAAGGAGGAGCCACGGGGGAGGAGGTGGAGGAGGAGGGGAAGAAGAGGAGGGAGGTGGGATGAGGAGGAAGTGGAAAAGGAGGAACAAAAAGAAGAACACGAGGAAGAAGGGGGCGCTTCAGCGTCCGAAAAAGGTTTGCTCTGGCGCTTTGGCCGACTCCGCCCAGAGGCACAACGAGTCTTCCAAGAGAGACCCGAAGAGGTCCCAAGAAACCCCAGGAGGGCCCAAAAGGCCCCCACGAGGCCCCGAAGAAAGTCGCCAGGGACATCATCAACGAGCGTCAAAAAAAACACACAAGTCCCATTACACATCTTGGCCACATTTGGAGGCGGATCCGAGATATGTTGTTGAAGATGACGATTGCTCTGCGCAGACGGCGCCAGATTTCACCTGGTTGATATGTCGGAAATACGAGGACGAGTTCGACGAGATATGCCAGAAATGCCAGGAATGTGAGTTCCATGTTGTCCTTATTCCCGGTTTCGGAAACCACGCGATAACGAATTTACCAACCAGCGCAAATCCGTGGCATTAGTTGTTTCAGAGAAACCATGCTACGATCAGCCGCGGAAGTCGTCATTCATTGTTAAGTTTATTGCGCGTTTCTACCATATGTTCGTTCTCTCCGCAATGTTGTCCTCCATCGCCCCAGGACGACTCCTCCTTTACATTGCCTGCCGCTGCAAGAATCAGACAAGCAATTCTAACGGGCACGGTTTGTTTGGACAGCCATTGCGTAGCAGATACAGTGGAAGATAAGGAAGAACATATGATAACAGAAAGATGGATCAGGAGCAGGAAAAGATTGACAGGAAGAAACAGGATTGCGAAAACTAATACGAAGCCGATGAGTAATGTGGTTCCGTCGTTTTGCCTTCAATCTTACAAGAATGCCAAGACAGTGCCAAATTCACAAAATTCCCGACATGTGTGTATTCGTGTCCTTGGGCCTTCCCACTGTTGCTCTTTCCACGCAGTGCCGTTCTGGACAGAGAGAACGTGACGAGACGCCTTGTCAAAGCCAGCCTTGGTGCCATTGAAGCAGCGCTGCGGAAATACCCGAGTGGTTTATGACCAAGAGATTATCCCGATGTTTGGGCCTCGGTCGTTATCTCAGCATTTGCCCGCGCCAAAATAACCCAGTCCCGACAAGACAAAGTATGTTTTTGTCTGTTGCCGAATAGAACACGGTTGTTACATATATGCGCAAAACCAAAATGACATACACAGTGTGTCACGGACCCATGCGCATTTACGAAAATAACACGCACGTCACGTAATTGACGATGCCGCAAGTCGAGAGAAATAGGCAAACAATCGCGATAGCGATGACGAACAACAAAAACATCTATGGCAAACCAGCGGACCGACAGAGGTTTTGAACCATAATATTTACAGACGCAGTGCATGTCACCCGTGGCCCTGAACGGCTTGCGGGATTACGGTTCAAGCCCCCGTGCCGAGCGAATGGGAAAACGTGGTGCGTGAATGGGTTTCATAGTTTGGGGCCGTGATCCAACCGCTCTTTGCAGGACCCGAAGATCCTTATATTCTGTGCTTAGGTGGTATAACGCAACGCTCCGCACACGCCTAATCTACCCCTTTCCACATACTTCTCACATTTGTCACATCCCTCTTACCACACATTTTCTGCTCTTATTTGTCTCTCGTGCGGACGTCTGTGACGACTGGGGCCGATGGCATGGGTGGTCCAACTGGCAGCTGGGATCCCATGGGGCCGCGTATGGGACGCGGGGGTCGGAGCCTATTCGCTGGCATCATCAGCAGCTTCGCGCTCGTATGCGGCGGCCGCCGTATACAGAGTGCAAACAGGCCACAGCACACGCTGGGATGGTCTGCGCGGGGTATATCCCAGAGTACCACCTCACTCCGGGGTTTGGCCCATGGCCTTGGGTTGGCTCCTGGTCGGGATCTTCCTGGGTATCTTGATTGCGTCTGTGGTGTTCCTGACGTACCTGTCGTGCACACGGACGCCCAACGAGGCGCCGGTACCTACCATACCACCAGAAGACAAACAGAGACACGACCTCTTAGACCACATCCAGGCCCACGGCCGGCCAGCGCTGGAGGAATTCGCCCGGTTGGGGAGCACCACAGAGGTGAACATTCTCTACAGTATCGTGGGAGTGCCACCTCCCGCCCAGACCCTTCCACCCGGCTTCGGGATGCTGCAGGGCCCTGAACATAATTCCTGTTGAAACAATTGTGGACGCAAGCGTGCGTGCGTGCGGCTATTCGCAGCGTGCTGGGGGATATTGCAAATTCGCACTATCCCCAGAGGTTGAATAATTCTTGCTACAAGAGTTATCGCTTATGTTGCCACACGCTTCTTAGTTTAAGATATGCTTCTTAGTCTAAGAGGTGACCTTGGTAAGGTATCGTTTCGCCTAGATTCTCAGTTGTTTGAACGCAGATGTGCGGCGACCAACGACATATATATACATATTTATATACATATATGTATATGTATATATATACACATATACATGCATAAATATTTGTATATACATATACATATACACAATATATATATATATATATATATACACATACATACATACATACATACATACATACATACATGCATATCTATATGCATATATATATACATATATATATACATATATATATATATGTGTGTCTCTCAAGTTGAGCACGTGGCCTGCTAACATGCCGGCCTCGCCTTGAAATTCTGGCGCGCGCGCGGGGGAGGGCGCTCGAGGCCTATAGATTGGCCCGCGCCCGATGGCCCTCGAGGGGCCTGCGGTGGCCGATCGGGGTTGGGGATATCCAGGGCCGAGTCGGGGACGTCGTCGCCCGCCGCAATCGTTCGGGTTCTGGCGGCTGGGGGCCGCGCGCGGGCCCCTCGCCCGCCTGCGGGCCCCCCCGCGCGCGGGCCCCTAGGGCGAGCTCGCGCGCATGCACGCATGGCCCCCAAACGGAAGCGCGCCAACTCCATGGAGGACGTGGCGCGCGTGCTGCGTCTCCACATGGTAGACAGCGACCTCGCATATGAGGTCAATGACGTCGACGACGTCTCGGAGGCTATCATCCAGCCACCTCGGCTGATGGAGAAGGCCCGCCTCGGGCCAGCCCCCGAAAATTCCTGAGTGGGCGGGGGTCGGCCTGGATCCTGGATCCTGGGACCCAGGACGAGACGGATGAGGGGAAGAGGTAAATGAGGAGGACAAACAGGGGAATGGCTGAGAGCGAGGAGGGCGAGGAGTGAGGAGAGCAGCCCAGGCCGCCATGCTGTCCGAGATCAGGCAGGCCATCGCACCGGCGGAGGCCATCACAAAGACGATGGCGATCGAAGCCTTCATGATGATCGCAGAGGACAGGGGAAGGAGGAGCAGAGGAAGCGGAGGCTGAGGAGGAGAAGGAGGAGGAGGAGGAGGAGGAGGAGGAGGAGGAGGAGGAGGAGAAGAAGGAGAAGGCGGAGAGAGAGAGGAAGGGGGGTAGGGAGGGAGTGATCTAGGGAGGGAGGCGATGGAGGAGGGAGGGTGGAGGAGGGACGAGGAGGAGGAGGATCCTGCATCCCCGTGCTCCACTACCTCCCACCTCCTCATCGATCCTCCTCTTCCTTCTTCTCCTCCTCCTCCTCCTCTACCTCCTCATCCTCCTTGGCTTCCCTCATCTTCTGCTTCTTCTCACCTCTCTCCTCCTCTCCCTCCTCTTTCTTCTCCTTCTCCTCCTCTTCCTATCCCGCCTCCCCAATGTCTCCTCCAAGCTCTTATCCCTGAAGCTCCTCTCGCCGTGACCGCGAGGAGCTCAACATCCCCGATGGCCAGACCAAGAGGTGGGCCAAAAAGAACAGCGCCATGTTGCGCGCCATGCTCAGACACGTGGCGCAGGCGGCCAGTCGCTTCAGGACGTCGGCCGTTGAATTCACTCTCACCTCCCTGACTCCCGCTCTCACTGCCGCTCTCACTCATCGCCCTCAACTCTCTGATCCCCGCGCTGCCCTCCAAATTTTTGCTCTCGCCCTTGTAACTCTCACAGCTTGCCCCCGCTCGCTCTCAATCTCACTCCTACTCACTTTCGCTCTCGCTCGCACTCCCATTCTGATCCCGATGCCATTATCATCAGGAATTTCAGTCTCGCTATCACTCGCACTCCTGCTCTCGCACTCATTCTCGCATGCTCTCACCCTCACTTACATCCCCACTCTCAATCGCACGCGGACGGGCGATTGGGGAGGGAGGCAGGCTGAGAGGCGATGGGGAGCGGGGCATGGGGGAGAGAGCGGGAAGAGAGACGCATGGCGTTAGCATCGATCCCGCGCTCTCCCCCTGGCCTTGCTTCTCCAAGCCATCTTAAGCCCAACCTCCTTCCCCGCTCGTCCGTCCGTGAATTCTGCGCGCCCCTAGGACTCGCGGGCAGCAGCCAGAGTGGTTCAAGACGATCGCGGAGAAGGACGCGTGGGGGTAACAGGGGAACCTCCTCGCCCCCTCCTTCCTCCTTTCGTCCTGTTCGATCCTCCTCTCCTTCCCATCCACCTCTCCTCCTTTCCTTCTCGCGTCCTGCGCTCCTCTCTTTCTCCTCTCTCCCCCCCCCTCCTTTTAGCCCCCCCCCGCCCACCCCCGCCGCAGCGTCGCTGCATCTTCGAGACCCCATCGGGGGGGGGGGCAGGGGGGGACAGGGGAAGGGGGCCATCGACTCGAGCACGAGTCCGACTCGAGAGGCCTTCCTTCCCCAACCTCCGCTGCCTCCCTCCACGAGGAGAACCTGAAGGCAATCGCGCACACATACAATTGGGATGCAGCGCAGCAGGCCTGCCCACGAAAGTGAAAATAATTAAGGCGCGGCCCCCAAACAGTTGGCATCGGCGGGGGGGGAGATGGAGGAGAAGAGGAGGGAAGGAGAAGGACAGGAGGAGAAGAGGAGAAAAGGAGAAGGACAGGGGAGGGGAAGGATCAGGATGACAGGGCAAGGATTCGGCGTAAAACAAACTTAAGAATGCATCGGTGAAGCATCGCCCCTCGACCCTCGGCCCCCTCGGGGCTGCCCAGCTGGCCCCCATGCGGGGCCAAGTGGCATAGATCGCACGCCCCCCCCACTGCCCCCGTCGTCATTGAGCCCCGATCGAGGGGGGGAGGGGAAGCAAGTACTGTTTTGGGAACCACTCCCCCTGGCGCGGCCCCGCCCCTCAGTAGGTCGGCTACCGCATCGACGCCAGCGACAGGAAGGCCAAGGCAGAGTACTCCCTGGCACCGGTGCCCGACTTGCAGCGCGCGGGCGAGGAGGTCATATGCAAGTGGGAGGATGGGAGCACATGGAGCGTGCCAGGCGTGAGCAACCAACAGCTCGCGGACGTGCAGAAGGGCAAACCTGCTGGTGCGACAAACGGTGTCCTTTGGTCTGGAACCCACTGCGAGACAGGCGACGCCGTTCGAGCGTCGGTCTGGAAGCGGAAGCAAGCTGAGGAGTGCGGCATCTGGTGCAAGCCCCAGGGGAGCCCCAGGTGGAAGATGGTCGCGCAGCTGCTGATCACGAGCGACTTGGACAACCCGCGCGCTTTCATTGTAGAGCTCGGCAAGGGGTACGCGCTCCAGAACTGGGACAAGAAGAAATTAGAGGAACGCAAGCTAGAGTACCTGAAGGCTCAGAGCTCGAGTGGAGGCGCGAGCTCGATCGGAGGCGCAGCGGCCAAGATGAAGCGGCCCGCGGCGGCCGCGCCAGCAGCTAAGCCGAAAGCCAAGGCGAACGCCAAGCAGGAAGGGGCCAATCCTGCAGCAGCCGAGGAGCCGCCCGATGAGGATGGGGGCGAGGAGCCCGAGGGAGACGAGGGCGGCAGCGCCGACCCACCAGAGCACGACGCGAAGCTCGACGACAGTGCCAGCAGTTCCGACGACGAGCCCAGCCCGCCGGCAAAGAAGCGGCCCGCGGCGGCGGCGCCGAAGAGGCGGCCCGCTGCGCAGCAGGAGGCAGCAGGGAGCGAGGCGGAGCTCGCAGAGGGCGCGGCGGCAGCTGTGGCAGATGCCGCGGCGGCTGCTGAGGAGGAAGAGGTCGAGGCGGCGGCGGCAGCCCCAGCAGACAGCGAGGCGGCAGCGCCTCGCGCTGCAGAGCCTTCACCTTCAGCCGCCAGCGGTGGGCCTGCGGAGGCGATCCAGGCTCCGCTCCCCCTCCGTTCTTCTCCTCCTAATCCCCTTTCCTTGTGCTCCTGCCCTTCCCCTTCTCCTGCTCGAGGCGCCAGGCGGGCTGGGCGACGATCTGCTCGGCGACGAGGGCGGCCGTGGCCGCCAGAGCGACATCGACAGCGACGACCTGCACATGGGGGGTGGGCTCTTCTGAGTCCGAGCGGGCGCCGCTATAGCTTAAGACCCCGACCCTTCGAGGAGGGGGGACCCCGAGGGGGGGGGGAGGGGGGGGGAGGAGGGGGAGGTTGAGAAGGACGAGGTAGGGGGGGGGGCATCAGGAGGCGGTCGAGGCGGGGAGGAAAAGATAGGAGGAGGATGCGCTTTCATCATTTCGATTCGTTGCATGGTCGACGGGTGCACAAGCGCTCGCGAATGATCGACTAGAGGCCGCGTTAGCCCGAGTCCGTCGCTGCTCTTGCGGATTCGAGCGGCGAGATGCCGTCTGTCGAAAATCGATCCTGCCCTGAGTGACCCACCCCACCCTCCATCCCACATAGGTCAGCCAGCTCGGCATGACAAGAAGATGTCATTCATTGATCCCACCCGCCCCCCCGCTCGAGGATACCCCATGGACAAGATGGGGGGAGGGCGCATGCAGGCCCTGGGATCCACATGTGGTGCGGGGGCGGGGGCATCCACAGGGGGGAGGGGGGGGCATGATCGACGGCCGCCGACCTCAGCTGTTTGAAGACCCAAGCCCGCGGCGCCCCACCCCACGAGTTCAGCAATTACATTCTCAGATGTCGGAGGCGATGTCGGATGTCGTGGAGGTTCCGAGCCCAACAGAGGCGCGGCCGTCCAACGTCGTCGATCGTCGGGCCCCGAACACTTGGTGTCTTGGGAAAGGGGGCCCCGAGCCTAGTCGTCACGTGGGGGCTGGGGTTGGTGTCAGATGAGGGGCGAAGTCAGGGCGCAAGCCGATGGTCGCCGACGCGCGCTGATGAACCCATGCGACGAAGCGCGCGAGGGGGGGGGTAAGGGCAGACTGCTGAGGCATGTCTCTCCGATCCCCCTCCCTCGTGCCTTCTAACGCTTGGGCTCTCAGCGCGTCGACGACCCGTCGGCCGTGCGAACGTCCAATCATGCGTCAATCGCTGGACCGAGAGGCTGAGACAGCGCCGCCTGGAGTCGCGCAGCCACTTGCCCAGGGATCTTGGTTCGTCGGCGAGCGCCCTGGATTCAGCGAGGAGCGCAAGGCTTTCTCAAACCGCCCTGCGGGTTTCCTGGGGACGTCGGAGTCGAGGGGGGATTAGAGAAGGGATGCGATCCCTCGATGGGGACGGGTTGGAAAGAGGATGAGCGAGGTGGGGGAGGGGGGTGACGCCTGCAGGATACCTTGCCCGACACAGCGTCCGAGTTCAAGGGCATGGACGTCAGCGCGCTGGTCACCTGGCACCGCCAGGAGCTCTCTTTGGGGTCCTCGCCATTCCTGTCGATGCCAGCTGCCGCTGATGCTGTTGCTCCATTGCTACCCTCTGCCTCGATGTATCTCCATGTCGGTGCTCATATGCTGCTGCCGCCGCTGCTCCCCCCTCCTCCTCCTCCTCCTCCTTCTCCTTCTCCTCCTCCTCCTCCTCCTCCTCCTTCTCCCTCTCCTCCTCCGCCTCCTCCTCTTCCCCCTCCTCCTCCTCCTTCTCCTCCTCCCCTCTTTCTTCTCTTTCTCCTCCTCCTTCTCCTCCTTCTCCTCCTCTTCTTTCCCCTCCTGCCTTCTCCTTCTTCTCCTTCTTCTCCTTCTCCTCGTCTTCCTCCTCCTTCTTCTCCTTCTCCTCTCCGCCACCTCTTCCTCCTTCTCCTCCTTCTCCTTCTCCTCCTCCTCCTCCTTCTCCTTCTTCCCCTCCTCCTCCTTATCATTATCCTCCTCTCCCTCTCCTCCTCCCTCTCCCTCTCCTTCTCCTTATCCTTCTCCTCCTTCTCCTTCTTCTCCTTCTCCTTCTCCTCCTTTTCCTCCTCCTTCTTCTCCTTCTCCTCCTTCTCCCCCTCTCGATCTCCCTCCAGAGAACCGCTCACGTTGGCCGTGAGCGGTTTCCTGGGGGGGGCGCAGATTTCTGGATTTCAGTTGCGCGCTCTGGTGCCGTTGCCGAAATTGCACCAGGGCGCGCAAATGAAACGCGTTCCTCGAGCCGCTCAGGAGATTGTGGATACTTTCGGAGAGCAGGCCGAGGCGCTGATGGCAGAGGCAGGCATCCCGCCTGGCGAGCCCGAGGGCGTCGACCACACGCCGACGGCTGCCCAGCTGGCTGGCGACGCGGCGGAGGAGGCAGCGGCGATGCGCCCAGTGGAGCCGGCGGCGCCTGGCTGCGCGCCGCCGTCGGGCTCGTGCCGCGCAGCAAGCGCGCCCGCTTGGCTGCGCAGCCAGAGCTGCTGGCCCTCGAGGCGCAGCAGGTTGAAGGGGAGGAGGCCAAGGCCGATGTGGCCAGGATCGAGCAGGCCAAGGCTGAGGCCAGGGCCGCGGCGTTCGAGCAGGCCAAGGCCGCGGCGCTGCAGGAGGCACAGGCCGATGCGCTCCATGAGGCCAGGCGCGAGGCGGCAGCCAAGGCCGTAGAGGATGCGCTCGAGCAGGCCAAGGCCGAGGCGCTTCAGGAGGCCCAAGCCGAGATCGAGCAGATCAGGGCTCAGGCGCTGGAGCAGGCCAGAGACGAGGCGCTGCAGAAGGCCAAGGCCGATGCGCTCGAGGCGGCGCAGCAGGCCAAGGCCGAGGCGATTCAGCAGGCCAAGGCCGAGGCGCTTCAGCAGGCCAGGCTCCAGGTGGCAGCCGAGGCCGCGGAGGCGGCGCGGGCTGGGGAGGCGCCAACGGCGGCAGCAGATGCCCCCGAGCCCAGCCCCCCTTGGGCGCAGGCGCAGCAGGCGATCCAGCCGAGGAGGTCGCGGATGAAGCTGCCAAGAGGGAGAAGCAGAAGAAGAAACTCCACGGGGTGATCGACTGCAAGGCGCGCAAGCGCCAGCGTGGTGGCGGCATCAGCCCAGATGACGAAGCCCAAGCCATCATCGATGAGGCCGAGGCGAAGCGCCAGGCCACCATGATATTCAACGAGCGCAAGCGCGTCATGGCAAAGAAATTGGCCTATGAGCAGGAGGAGAAGGAGAAGGCTGAGGCGCTCACGCTGGAAGCTGAACTTGATGAGTACGAGGCAATGCGGAACCAGCGGTGGGAAGTCGCCTCAACTACCGCGAGCGACGACCGCAGGCTGAGTGGGTGTAACCAACATGATGTGGACACGGACTCTGAATATTCGGAGACGCCATGTGTGCCAGAGTTGCCGACGTTCGAGTTCGCCATGTCTGAGAGGGAAAAGGAGCAGCAAGCTAAAGATAGGCTGGATGAGCTTCACGAGGTGCCTTACCCCGACTCGGTCGACCATGGCGACGTGCCTCAGCCGTCGCCGATGACACCAGCGGCCACGAGCGTGCGGTCGGCGTCTTTGCCGCGCGCGGAGCCCCTTGCAGCGGGAGAGAGCAGTGGCTCCACGCCGCAGGCCTCCGCGCCCGCGCGGGAGACCGAATCCCCCTGGGCGGCAGGCTCAGCGGCGGCTTACCCGCCAGCTCAGCCGCCCGCGCAGCCTCAGCCGCAGCCGGCGCAGCCCCCGCAGCCTGCCCCCGATGCCCCCATGGCGCCAGCGACTGACAAGGAGACTCTGAGGCAACAAGTGGTCCAGCAGATGGATCGCGTCAACGATGCTGCGAAGGTTTTGGCAAGCTGCGCTCCCGAGAAGTTCGTCCTCGAGGACGCCGCGCAGAAAGCCGAGGTGTCGATCTCGCAGCTGTACCACAGCGATCTCGTTAGGAAGATGAAAGCGCTGCATCAGGCTGACCAGGAGCTCTCGATGGATGCAAAGCAGAAGGCCTTGGCGGAGGAAGACGTCTTCTGGGAGGGCATGAAGGCGCACGATTTCAAGTTCGGGACCGCCTGCACTTCAGGCAACAGCATTGCGGGGCGCTGGGCTAGGGCCTTGAGAGCTGACGCTGCCTTGGCGGCAGAATACCGTGCGAAGGAGGGGTACCTCCAGAAGGCCGACTTCCGCGCTGCTTGGGCAAAGGGCAAGTACGACAAACACCAGGTGGCCAGGGGCCGCTCTAAGGATGAGAAGCATTCGAAGTCTGAAATCAGGAATGGGACATACGTGTCCCTGGGCCGCCTGGCATGGCTCGAGGGCGGAGGTTCGAGCGGCATGAAAATTGCCGTTCGTTACGCGACGAACTGCGTGATCATGGGGGGCATCTGGTGCTCGTGGGACGAGATGGGTGAGGTCCTCAAATATCTGCACGTCCAGCACAGCGTCCGCGACGAGTTCAAGCGCTCCTGGAGGGCGTGGGAGGACTGGGCCGAGCAGCCGACTGCACATGCTTCCGCGGAGGGCGACGCCGCGGCGCAGTCCGCGCCAGCCGCGACGCCCTCGCGCGCGGGAGGTCAGCCTGCCGCGTCGCCCCCGACGCCTAGCTTGATTCCCGCGACGCCGACCCCGACGGCGACCCCGACGGCGACCCCGACGCGGCCGCGGGGCGAGGGCGCTGCAACTCCGACGCCCAGAAGTGCTGTCAAGGGCCGAGGCGGCGGGGATGGTGATGGCGGCATCCCAGCACGCGTCATCTCGAGGAAGCCCGATGACAACGGGAGGAAGTTCAAGGAGCTGAAGACCTCCTACCAGAAGGCCACCAGCGAGTGCAACACCATCCTCAGGATGGTGAAGTCCGACCCCGATTGGTGCTGGGCCGACAACGACGTCATGATGGGCCCGTTGCGCAGCGCGGACAGCAAGGCGCCCGCTATCCTCCTTCACTTTCCTCCTCCGCCTCCGCTCCTCGGACCACCAACTGCCGCCCCCCCCGCCCCCTCCGCCTTGGAGGGGGCGGGGGGGCACGGCAAGGAGGATAGGGGGAGTGAAGGGGGGGGCAGGTGACTGGGAGGAGGGAGGGCATGGGGGGCTCGAGGATCTCGAGGGGGCGGGGAGCGACGCAGGCAAGGGCTCGGGGGGAGCTGGGAGGGGGAAGGAGGGGGCGGAGGAGGAGGTGGAGGAGGTGGAAGGATGGGATGGGGAGGAGGAGGAGCAGGGCGGCGAGGGGAGGCGAGAAGGAGAAGAAGGAGACGAGGGCAAGAGGAGGATTGGAGGGGACACGAGGGGGCCAGGACAGAATAGGATGAGAGAGATGAGCGCCCCGATCGAGGTTCACGAGATCCTGAAGCAGGACCGCGACCTCGCCTCCTGCCTCGCTGGCCAGTTCGCGAACCTGAAGTCTACGCTCGGAGATGAGAAAGTGCAGGCGGTCCTGGGTCGCGCCGTGTTCGCTCTGAAGGAGCCTGTCGAGGCGCTCGACCACGAGTGCCGCCTGCTGATTGCTCAGCACAACAGCCGCGTGCGCCTGGTCTCTCTCCCTGAGAAGGCGAACCTTAAGAAGGCCAGGAAGGCCTCGAGCTCCCATGGGAGTCGGTGAACACAATTTCTGAGGGTTGCACCTAATACCTTCCATAGCAGCGCTCGAGTGCATGAGGGCCTCGATCGCAGAGCGTGCAATCGATAATTTAATGTTGGGGTGAGGTCTTGGGCATGGGCCTAGGCCTGCATGAGGGGCGGATCAGCCCCCGCAATGCTGTCGCAGGGGTGTCGGCAGACACTTGGCACGCCAAACTACCGTATAAACTACCGGCTAAACTGCCCATATAAACTACCCGTATAAACGTAACGTTTCCCTGTGAAATCACATGGTTTCCTGCCCCCAGGGCCGCGTATAAACTACCGGCTAAACTGCGTATAAACTTCCAGGTGCCTCCCAGGGAACATGGAGAGCGTGTCTGCGGCGCATGCGGTGCCGATCTTGATTTCGGGACTTCGCCCGATCGGGGTGCGACGGCGCGGTGCTGGGGTTTGCGCCACGACAGCTGATCGCACCCCGTTTTTCGTGCTCTGTGCCTGTCTGCGCGCTCGATAGTGCGAGGGCAAACGACATGCGGCAACGCAAGAGGTCTAAACAGGGCAGTTCACGTATGCAACATCCCTTTGCAATCCAGTACAAGACAGGTGCAAGACAGGTGTGCTTAGGCGAGCTCGTCCCGAGGTGATCGACTATTCGCGTGTGCTGCTTTCTCAGAAATGGCGTCGTGGTGTGGACCCCGAATTCAGCGTTGGTCGTTGTTGCCAACGAGAAGCTACACATGTTGGAAGACCTGCGATCATAGCATGCCCTCGGGCGCCGATCGCTCGATGCAAGCACTGCGTTGGGAGTATTGCCGCCTCCCCATGTTCTTCGGGGGCGTTGGGGAGGTGGTTTTCCAAGAGGGCCCCCCCAGGGGAGGGAAGGGGGGGGGGAAGGGGAAGAAGGAGAAGGATAAGGAGGAATATAAGGAAAAGGAGGAGAAGGAGGAGGAGGAGAAGGACAAGGACGAGCGGACGGCCAGGATCACGACGACGACCGTTGAGAAGAGGAGGGGGTGGGCGATCACCTCGCATGCCATCATCATCATGATATTTAGAGCGAGTTGCAGGGTTCTGAGTAGAGTAGTCAGCACGCAAATTGATGACGTGGCGTGCGCGTGGCTCACGGCATCCGCCGACCAGCGAGGGATGACTATCAGTTGTTCGCAATCGTCGTTCTGGTCTTTCCAGCGCGGGTGCTAGATATCCCCTTCGGACAGTGCACATGGCTCGCATAATGGGAAGAATGTCTGAGGGGATGGGTCATTAAATAAGTAAGGCGCCCAGCTTTGCTCGCTCGCACGCCCCCGAGAGCTGCTCGGTTTGGTCCTGGGTCTCATCGCGCCCACTGGCGCTCAAACCTCCGAGCCTCTCCCCAAACCGCGGGCCCCATTGGCGGCCTTCAAGCACTTCTCTGGGGTGAGACCAGCTTCTCCTTCGCGCGGATGTCGAGCGCCTGGGCGGGCGCCCTCCCCATGCCATCTTCCTCTCCGCCAAGTCTCTGCCCCTCTCCCCTCTTACCCCTTCTGCACTCTACCCCGCCCGTCTCTCCCGACTCGTTCACCTATCCTCGCCCCGCATCGGGCCCAGCCGCCCCCAGCCCCACCCCCCTGACCTATGCGCAGTGCGCGTCATCGTTCGTCTCGGATCCGTACGCCATAGCTTTGCATCGCAAGTATGCGGCCAGAACCAGCAACGAAGCGGCGGCGCAGGGCTCGCCACCAGCCAAGCGGCGATGGCGGCGACGCTGCAGACCGCAGCTCTGCTGCTCGTCATGCTGCTGGGTCTTCCATTTTCAAGAAACTTCTCGGGATGTATGGGGCGTGCAAGGTTATGTCCGCGCGTGATCTCTGTGAGTTGTGTTATTATCTTGATGCCGCGGGTGTTGAGGGAGCTGACTGGGATTTATACAAAATGGCGCCTGACCTTCAATCAGGCCAGTACAAAGCTCGACTTGATCAAGTCCTCCCGCAGACTTTCACTTTTGTTGATGTGGAGATGCCCGCGCGCGCGCAGGGTCGGGCAGAGCGAACGTACCACGCCATTCCCATTGCATTAGCATACAATTCATTAGCCGATGAATTTGATCAGAACCCGTGGATGAGGGAGAACCTTGAGAATGGGTCGGTGGACCGCGCGTCTCATCTAGCAAACCGATCATACCTCAGCAGTCCTAACGTCCAGGAAGCACTGGCATCTGGCAAGAACTATCCCCTCCCGATTGCATTTTACTGCGATGGCGTTCGGTTCACGGCAATGCAGTCGAGACCAGACTCCATATTGGGTATATCCATCACCAACCTGTTGTCGAATAAGCGTCACTTGGTAGCGGTGGTGCGTACTGGGGACATGTGTACCTGCGGCTGCGGCGGGTGGTGTTCCATATACACCGTCCTCCGCGCTGTGGCGTGGCAGTTGCGTGCTCTCAAGGACGGCTTCTCCCCTGCAGCAAAGCCTGACGGCTCGGCGTGGGATGACGAGAAGGACGCCTCGCGGGCGTTGGGGTTTACTGCGACAATGGTGTATGCCAAAGGAGATTGGTCTGAATTTGCCAAAACCTTTGGATTGAGCAATTGGCAGACGTTCCACAATCCGTGCCCGTGCTGTCCAGCGCCATCCAGCTGCCTCCACTTTGTCATTCCTGGCATGTTGGATGCCAGCGGGGTGACCTACGAGGACAGGGCCGCGGCCGACTACGAGCAGAGCTGCCTTGCGTGTGAGCGCCATGTCAACGTCCTCGACAATCGCCAGCGATCTGAAATTGTGCGCTTGCTGAAATACCACCCAGATGAGATTGGCAAGGGCAGGTGCCTGATCACTGCTCTACCCGAGTTCGGGCTCTTGGCGGGTGACCGGTTGGAGCCTGGTGGCGACGTTCACGACATCCGACAGTTTGACAGCCTCAAAACGCCATTCAAGTGTGTCTTCTGGAGGAAACACTTTGACCAGCATGGGCGGTGCACCGACTGGGCTAACCACCGATGCCCATTATTTGATAGGTATTTGGGAACTTCTCCTCATGAGAACCTCGCGATAGATACACTTCATACTTTGTACTACGGTCCTGTGATGAGGGCGACGTCGTGCGCATTATCTCGCATCCTTCAGGCGAATGCGTGGTCATTCCATGGCAGGTTCGAGCTTTCAGTGGCACATTGCATTCGGCGCCTGGAGAGCGAAATGTTCAAGTGGTTTGATGACGAGGGCGCCCCGCACGATCGGAGGCTGGGCCGTCTGACATTGAAAATGATTGGTTTCAACGCCTGTGGTAAACAGGCGAAGGCTTCCCTCTCGTGGATGCCGCACCCAGGTGCGATCATGGCAACGAAGGCCGCAGAGACGGCACTCCTCCTTGATTTTGCAGTTCATCAGCTAAAGAAGTGGGGCAATCGCATCCATGGGAGCAGCGACTTGTTGACAGCCTGCAAGTCTTTGCAGGCGTGGCTCGACGTGTGCAGGCACGCGCCCCTCGTGCTCGAGGCAGACTACTACCAGGAGCTTCTGGACAATGCTGTTCGTTTCTGCGTGCACGCCGAGAATGCGGGCATCGCGTTCACGCCCAAGTTCCATTTGTTCTGCCACATGAGCGTAAGGTCAAGCGTCGCAACAATCGTCGTCTTTCGCCCCATAGCCACCTCCCCCGCCGCCCCTGCCCAGCCCCCGAGCTCGCCCCCCCCCTTCGCCCGCCCGCCCCCTTCAGAAGGGGGGAAGGGTGCATTCTGCAGGGGGGGGGGGGGGGAGGGGGGGGGATAATTCGTGTGCTCGACGTGCTGGCTCTCGCTTATACCGCCTGACCCTATACCTCGCCCACTGGAGGGGAGGGAGCGAGGGGGGGGGGTGAGCGGGATCAGAAAGATACAGAGAGAGAGAGAGAGAGACATAGAGAAAGAGAGAGAGAGAGAGAGAGAGAGAGAGAGAGAACAAGAGAGGGAGAGGGAGAGGGAGAGGGAAAGGGATAGAGAGAGAGAGGGGGAGAGAGAGAGAGAGCGAGGGGAAGAGAGAGAGAGAGAGAGGGAGAGAGAGAGAGAGAGAGAGAGAGAGAGAAAGACATAAAGAAATAAAGAACGAAAGAGAGAAATAGAGACATATAGAGAGAGAGAGAGAGAGAGAGAGAAACAAAAAAGGAGAGAGAGAGAGAGAGAGAGAGAAAGAGATAGTGGATGGAGGAGGGAAGAGGGAATGAGGAGGAAGGAGGAGAGGGGAGGGATGGGAGAGGGGGTTCTCACGGCAGGCAAAAAGCGAGCGGCCGAAGCGCCTGCAGGATGGTGAGCTCGGGGACCTGATCGGGGTGCCATTTCGAGAGGGGAACGCATGCTTCCTCCACCTTCCCGTCATCCACTTCCCCCGCGCTTCATCTTCTCCTCCCTCTCCTTATCCTCATATGCCCCTTCCTTCCCTCCTCTTCCCTTCTCCTCCACCCCCTCCTCCTTCGCCTCCTGCCATCGCCTTGCCCCCCCTCTCCCGCGGGGGAGGGGGGGGGGGTGGGAGAAGGGGGTGGGCGGGGGGATGGGTCGCGAGTGCGTCGCATATCCCCAACGCTGCGCGCGCCCCCGCCTGGCCACGCGCAGGAGGGGGAGAAGGATGGGGGGAGGAGGAGTAGGGGGGGGGATGGGGGAATATGGTCGAAATGAATAGTAAGCGTCGAGGTTCGCAGGGGTCCAACTCAGGCCTAACGGGCCTGATATAGGACGGCGCCCGCGCGCGTGCGAGGGTGAGAAGAAATTCGGCAGGCATGCAAGGTGCAGTTACTTCGCGATCCAGTTCGGCGCCCGCCTGAGACTTCTTCAATATTTTGATTTCATCGCTTGGCCTGGCCAAGCGCCGACGCGCGGGGGATAGAAAGGCAGAGGGGCGGAAAGTTTCGGGCGCAAGATGTCGGGGGGGGAGGGCGGGGGCGAACCGTTCCCCCAAGGAGGAAACCATCTGACGCTATTAGTTTACTCCTTGTAGGGGTTGGCGGGGTTGCATAACGTTGGTTCGCGCTCAACGCAGGTCTTGGAATCTTGGCAACCCGTCTTGGTA